GAGGAGATAAAGAGCTGAGTTTGGCCAATTTGGAATCTGAGGGGCTAGAGAGCTAGATATCTCTGCTGGACTAGGGAAGAGAAAAAAAAAATGGAATTTTTCAGCCAAATGATAACAAAGGCTCTTTAACACCAGGAAGACAAGTTCAGGCAGTAACGCTGAATTCATGCTGACCCACCCACACAAGTGCCTGGGTCCCAGGGCAATCAATAGCACCAGGGGCCAAGGTGGTCAAGTAGATCTGGGAGGGAAGCTGTAGTCATTGAGTGGATGGTCCACTCATAAAAATGAACAGCAAACTGCTCAGCACAGTAAACAGGATCCGCCTGCTTCAGACAAACTCAGGAATAGCACGCTTATTATGAGCCTGTTCCCAGTTCCCGGGAGGCCAGGGTAAGGAAGCAAAGCAGCAAGAACAATCTCCTCCTCCCCGCCCTCCCTCCTCAGTTTCCTCACCTGCTTATGCAGCCAGCCCCTCACCACCACTGGAACATTGGGGTTCCTCCGAATAGCCTGGTCCCTCTTCCCAAAGCTGTGGACTTTATTGTTGGACTTTATGATCTAGGAGAAAAAAGACTTGAACTCTAGCAGCCAGGGGGATTTAAGGAGGCATAAAAAAGAACTTTAGGGTAGGAGGGCTATAGGTCCCCTCTGCCTTACTCTAAGTGAACAACAAGGAGATAGGGAACTGACACACATATGGCCATAGCATTCTAATTAAAAGGCGAGTCTAAGACCTGGCAAGCTTCCCGTCTGGGTCACAGAGATAAAAATATTTAAAGGGATTTTTCAAACAACTTTCATCAGCAGCTGCTGGCCCTAAAATGTTTTACATCTTTCTGAAACGAAGCTACTTTTTGGTCACAGACTCTGCCAATTTCCAGATAATTCACCCCTCCTATCTGGGTTCAGTCCTCTGCAGTCTCCCCTTTTCTACAATGGTTGTTCTTTTACCTGCTCCTCAGTCAGTGCTCCCATATCTTGGGGACAGAAATCTCTGGGCCCTTTTCAAGCACACCCTTCCTAGGGCCCATCTATCACAAATCTAACACACACGTGTTAGGCTGCCTCTAACACACACGTGGCCTTTCCATGACATGTCTGGGAAATGAAGAATGCATCCAAGGACTTAAATGTCAGTCTTGGTTCTGTCAGCAATCACCTATTTTCTTAGACAAGTGACATAACCCCAATCAGCCTCAATTTCCCAAGCTATCATTTGGGAAGAAGACTTATATGTCTCCCTCACAAAAGTATGGTGCAGGTCAAATGGGCCTCTGGTTACGAAGGGGCTTGCCAAATATAAAAGAAGAGAAGGAAGGAACGAGTGGCCAGAAGCTCACCTTCGGGCCGGGCTTGGCCTCTACAGTGGATGTGGTCCCAGTCGTGGACGTTTCACTGACCATGCTGGATGGTCTTTGGTTTTTCTCTTGCTTCGACATATGTGGATTTGGCCTGTGAGGAGACAGAAAAGAATCCAGTCAGTAAGTGCCAGGCTGCAGCAGGAAATGGAATCTGAGATTTAGAACTGGTTGATAGGCCATAGACAACCTAGGACCCACCTTTTGGAGAACACCTGACTCCAGACAACAGCCAGGGGGCCACGATGCCCAGCCTATCTATACTTCAGGAAATCAAGAGGATGATAGGTGGGCACATCTCCAAAGCCTGACAACCCACAAAGGGGCTAAGGCAGTCATCCCTGACTGCTGTCCTAAGGTCTCTACAGTTACTCTCTTACTCACATATCTGTGGCAACTGCCCCATCAGATGGGCACACACAGTCACACACCACTCTTCAAGCAACAGTAATTCATAGCCTTTACACACACCTCCATTTCCCTGGCTCCCAAAAGAAGCTGTTATAATTAGTATAGAAATCACTTGTGTGCATATCCACACCCCCAGATACACACAGAGAATCGCTTACATAAACGTCAGTAGGGCTTGCCTCCCAAAATAGAATACTCAACAACGAGTCCTATTCTGGGAACACTCCATTTGCCCCAAAATAGAGCCATCGGAGATATTAACCCTTTGCGCCATGCCCAGAGAGTAGGAAAAACTGAAGCGTACTTGGGTCCCCAATGAGGAACCCCTCAGTTCATCTATCAGCTTCCCACTGAGAACCTCCACCTGCCCTAGGAGGTACAGCACTTTGGGAACCTCTTGGTCCGATACTCACAAGACACCACAGAGAACCCTTCTCACCTGCCTCCACAGAGCCCCAACATTTGCCAGTCTTTCAAAGCAGCAGTGGTGGCAAATGCCTCCACACAAACTCAATACTATCCTTGAATGGCTTGACGTTGACTCTCAGAATCTGCTAACTCCAGGATCAGTGAGCCTTCCTCAAAGTAGAAGTCCCAGGATATGTCTGAGTTTTGTCCACTGCTCTGAGAGACAATAGGATCCAGGCAGCTGCAGTAAACTGGGGCTCTCTGCCGGAGGAGTGGAGAAAATCTGATCTGGAGGCCTAGCCCGGACCCTGAGGAGATGGAGAGAGAAGACCCGGGCACGACACAGCTGAGGAAGAAGCACTCTGAAGTCCTTTCGCCACTCTCACTTTTACAGAGGTGCTACGAGGAAAAATCTTAGTTTCCACCTTGGAGATAAGATGCACTGCTTCTTTCAAAACCACTGCTGCACAAAGGATAAGTGATCCTTCTCGTGCCCAAGCCAGAGCCCTGACACCCTGCACCGTTAGGGGAGTTCTGCACAGGAGGACCACTGCAGCAAGCACCAGCTCTCCAAGCGGCTGGCCCTGCCAGATGCTTGGCAGCTGGAGGTGCAAGTCCCTCCAGGCAGAAAGATCACTGGCTCCTTATCAGCTCAGGCACTCACTCCGGATTCCCCGCCCCAGCCTCCATCCCAGCCAGGCTTTTGTTATGCTCCCCACTCAGAGAATGTCACCACACTCAGCCGCTCAGTGTTGGCAGAGGCTCTGTGCAGCACAGAGATAATCGCCAACTGGGGGTGGAAAGGAGCTCTGAGAGGCTGCCTTGTCCAGGCCCTGCCTCCAGGCAGAACTATGCCCCAAACGTCTTCCTGGAACCTAGTCTTGCCTGACTTTTCAGATTTCCAAGGCTTGAGACAAGGAAGAAGTATATTCAGGTCATATTAGTATGGCAGCTGTATCTCTAAAGCAAAAACTCAGGACAAGAAGTCCGATAATAAAAAAAGTTTGTTTGGGATTTTACCAACTTTAATTCACTCTCATTTAAGATAACCAACAGAGATAGAGGCTCTGCTCATCCCTCTGGTGACCGAATCAAAGTTGTGATGGAAACAAGGAACAGCAGCAAAGAAAAATCACTTGGGATGAACAAGCCATATAACTAGAGAGAAATCCAAGAAATCACCCTGCCACGGCAGAAGGTAGGATGGTGCGAGGATGCGGGGCTGCCAGGTCTTGAGCGGCAGACGTCTCTTAAAGGGGCCGCATCCACAAGCAGATTTTCAGTGACAGACCTGCTCACTCTGAGCACCAGTGCCGATTAGGCTGCGCAGAGAGGGCACCAGGGACTTTTAGGGAGACACTGTCAGAGTGAGAGCCTGGCCTAGACTCGCTTTCAACAGAAGTCTCAGGGGTATCCACTGTTCCCTGCTGAGCCCTCCCCACTACCAGTGTGCCAGACACAGTGCCACCATAGCCGTGAGGTCATCAAACTGGATAACAGAGGTCGCTCCACCCAGAGGATTCTCTGAAACCCCGCCTCCCCCAACTCGCAGCCTCACCCAAGCCACATCCAGGTGTATTCTCAGCAAGTCAGGTGCTCCTTGCTAAGACTCACAATGGAGGAAGCAGCTGGCCTCGGTTTCTGGTGTGGCCTTTTGAGGCAACTGTAAGCACGGCATCTGTAGATTGCTTGCTGAATCTTAATAGGTGGCCCCGGAGAGGTAGAGGCTTGGGTTAAGTTGGGCCTCCAGCTGAACCCCTCTCAGGACTGTGCCACTGGACACCTACTTCACAAATCCACACTAATAAGACCGGGAGACTTAGAAGCTTTGCTTAGTACATAGAAACAGACACGGAAAGGCAGCCAAAATGGGAAGACAAAGAAGCAGAAACCATATGACAGAACATAACAGAGATCCAGATATAATGGAGTCAAGTAATCTAACAGATGCAGAGTTCAAAACACTAGCTATAAAGATGCTCAATGAACTTTTGAGAAGTGTAGAGAACTCCAACAGAGAGATAAAAGTGGAAATGGGAATTATAAAAGGGAACGAGTATGAAATGGAGAACACATCTGAGATGAGAAGTATATTAAATGGAATAAACAAAGGAATAAACAAAGTGAATAAAGAAAAGGATCAAATACCTTATCTAAAGGAAGGGAAAGCCAAGGACACGCAATCAGAATGGCAAGAGATAAGATGCCAAGACTATAAAAATAACTTAAGGAGGATATGGGACACTATTAAGGCTCCAAATATCCGTCTGATTGGCATAACTGAAAAAAAAAATCAAGATGTTGAACAGCTGTGTGAAGTAATAATGATGGAAAACTTCCCTAACCTGGTGAAGGAAATGGACATAAAACCCCAGGAAGCTCAGAGAATTCCAAAAATCAGGGATCCAAAGAGACCCACACCAAGACACATCATAATTAAAATGCCAAAGGTTAAATACAAAGAAAAAATATTAAAAGCAGTAAGAGAAAAAACAGATAGTTATTTATAAGGGAACACCCATAAGACTAGCAGCTGATTTCTCAAAAGAAACTATGCAGGACAGAAGGGCCTGGCAAAAAATATTCGACAGGATGAAGACCCAGGATCTACAACCAAGAATAATTTATCCAGCAAAGCTATCATTTAGACTTGAAGGACAGATAAAGAGCTTCCCAAATAAAAATAAGCTAAAGGAATTCATCACCAAGCCAGTATTACAGGAAATGTTGGAGGGACTTCTTTAACAAGAAAAAACGTGTATCAAAAACAGGAAAAAAGAATAATTAACAACTACATTCCTATCAATAGGTACCTTAAATGGAAAAGATTTAAGTGCTCCAATCAAGGGATGGAGTGGCTGAAAGGATAAGAAAACAAGACCCTCGCATATGAAAAGAAAGGGGATGGAAAAGATATTGCTTTGATGGACCTAGAAGGTATTTAAGTCAGGCAGAGAAAGATAAACACTGTATGATTTCACTTATATGCGGAATCTAAGGAATAAAAAGAACTAATCAAAAACAGACTCACAAATATAATGGACAATTTGGTGATGGACAGAGGGGAGGGGAGTTTGGGGGGCTGGGATAATGGGCTGAAGGGTTAAAGAAGTACAAATTAGTAGCTGATGGATGGTCACGGGGATGGGGAGCACGGCATAGGGAATGCAGTTAGCATTAATATGTTGGCTAGGTGGAGGGTCAAGGGAGGGAGGGAACAATTGGGGGGATCATTTTATGAACTATATAGATATCTAACCAATGTACTGTATACTTGAAACTAATTAAAATAAAAAAAAATTAAAAGAAAAGATAACCAATAGAGGCTTATTACAGAATATTTGATAAATCTGGGGGGAAAAGCTGAAAGAAAAAAAAATCACCATAGTCTCACTTTCCAAGGGAAAATCATTTGAATGCTTCGTATATTGGCTTTTTGGGGGAGTGTGGGGGTGCTTTGTTGTTTAATAATTGCGATCATACCGTGTTTATGATTTTGCATCTTGATTTTTTAAAAACTTACTATAAACATTTTCTCCATTCTTTTAAACTCATCCACATCGTTTTAAATGATCGCATCACATTACATCAACTAGAAGTGCCAATCCTCCTGTGTGACAAAGATTCTCTGGATTTGTGATTGATTGAGGACATCCAGGAGAGGTGGCCACTTCTGCCTTTTCTGTACCTTACAATCTTCAGCTCTAATTTTAATCTTTGCCTGCATTCTAACCCATGTCTCCTCCCTACACTAAGGAAGCTCCTCTGGCCAACAGTACAGGAAGAAAGATGCAGGCTTGAGTGAGTGAAGAAAGTACAACCACCACCTCGGGTATCAGCTGCGAACATATTTCAGCTGGAAAAGGAATGACTGTGAACCCAACTTTGAACATTAGTGAGGGATAGTGGGTGCTGGGGCAGAGGAGGAAAAAACACATAAAGACAACCCCATTCTTCATGAATACAGAGACCTGCGCTAAGCCACACCCAGAGAAAGCTGGCTTTTTAAGAGATATGACTGAAGTTCAAACCAAATTCGCTCCCGGGGAGGGGACCATGGTTTCTCTACAAACAGGGAGCGTATCTTCGCTGGGGCACCCCATGGGCAGGGACAGCTCCCAATGAAGCAACAAATTCAACCATTACCTGGTAGTCCCTGATCTGGCTCTTTGAAAGAACACACCACTCCCCACTCAGTTCAGTAACAAGCTCTGTCTTCAGAGGATTTTCCTCTGAAGCTCCTCAATGCGGGTAATGATCTGGTAGGTCCTCCAA